GGATAAATCATCATCCAAGATCAGTTTCAGAAGAGACAGAGTAACACTATTCCTCCAATATCTGAAAGAGACAGATCCCATTTCATGGACTCATCTCATAGGCCAGCTGAGAGCAACCATCATATGAGAAGGTGAGTTAGGGCGCCCCGAAACCGACCACACTCTATCTCTGTTTAGAAATGTGTAGCGGGGGGTCCAAGCCAATCGTGCACTCCTAGGCAGAAGGAAGTTACACACTGTCAGAGACCCCTTTCTTCCATCGAGAGCCCAGCTTGGGAAGGCATGGAGGTCGGACAACAGCCAGAGGGTCTTCACACGTGCAGAACTGAAAGCCAGGGTAGTTTTAGGTTTTCCCTCTATCCAGGACATAGTCAGCGAAGATCAAGGTGAAGGAGAATGAAGTGGCGGGAAAAGGGGTCTCCTCCAAGCTGCTGTCTCACCCTCATGCTGGTCCTGGGCCTGTCTGCCCTCAGCTCCATTCCCGGCCTTCTGCTCTGCGCTGCGCTGCGCTGCAGGAGGCTGGAGCTGGGGGACGCAGACGCCGCAGCTGCTCTTGGCCTTGTCAAGGCTCCGGCTCCTGGTGGTAGCCCTGGCCCCTGGGCCCACTTTTCTCTACATCCAGGACATGGGGGTGGTTTCCTGCTGATGCTAATCTCTGGGTCACTCCTCTGCCTTGCTTGGCTCTCAGCCTGTTATCGCCAGCTCCCTGCATTAAATGCTATGTACTGTATGTACCTACAGTGGTTTCGGGGTTCCTGGTTGGACATGCCAACTTCAGGATATGTGTGTTTCTTACAAATTATTTTATCCAACAGAAGCAGAAAATCCACGTACTTTTTAAATATTTAACATTTACTAGGTTACTACATCCCTTACCAGGGGAAGGTACAAGCAAAGGAAAAGGGACCAACCTGGGTCCTGCTTCAATTTCAAATATTTTAATGCATGCATATTGCAACACAGGTAGCCATCTCTATCACCAGCCATGGTGCTACCAGCAGGTTCAAGGATGTTTGGAGTCTAATACAAATAGCAAGCTAGCAAAGATCAGTGAGAACAGCAACAGAGAGATGCAAGAACATCAGCAAAACTGCACGAAGTCTTCAAAATATATCACCTTAGATCTTTTAAAATTGGAATTTTAGGGCTGGTTAAGAGCTGGCTTGGGACGCCAGCTCTGAGCAGCAGGGCCCCGGTTCAGATCCCACATGAGGGCCAGTGACACTGCACCCTCTACAGCTAAGATGGTGAACAATAGCTCGACCTGGAGCTGGTCTGCCATGAGTCGCCAGCGATGGCTTAGGCTGCAGTGAAGCTGCAGTGGGTTGCCGTGGGCTACCGTGTGTGGCCAGCAGCCAGCGTGAGCTGCCAAGAACCACT